GGTGCGACCACGGCCTCTGGGTGCGGGACGATTAGGATGGGTCCGATGGAACTTCTCTAGCAATGTGGGGTCAAGAACGTTGTCCCGGGCCACCCAGGATCTTTCCTCTGGTCCATATCCTTCCCAATCTACCAGGTATTCTAGTCGGCCGCCCCGCCGCCGCAAATCCAGGATTTCCTTGAACTGGTAGACAGATGGTTGTTCGAGGATCTCTGGAGGAGGAGGCTCTGCTGGTGCCATGAGTTCGGGTGCAGAAGGAGAGAAGGGTTTTAGGAGGTGGGGTGAATTCTGTACCGGGGTGGAAGTTGGAGTTGGTAGGTGACCTCATTTATCTGCCTCTGTATCGGGAACGGACCGATGTAGTGGGGACTCAGCTTCTTGCAAGGCAGGTGGAGGCGCAGATCCCGGGTCGATAGCCATACTTGCTGTCCAGTTTGGTAAGTGGGAGTCAAGGAACGCCGGGCATCAGCGAAGGTTTTGTGCCTCCGCACTGCACGTTGAAGTTGGATGTGAGCTGAGTCCCACACTCTCTCGCTAGCTCGGAACCAGTAGTCCACAGCTGGGACCTCCGATGGCTCTTCGGTCCATGGGAAGAGTGGAGGTTGGTAGCCGAATATGCACTGGAAAGGTGTGAGTCCGGTGGTGTTTTGTCGGAGGGAGTTTTGTGCATACTCGGCCCATGGGAGGAAGCAGGCCCAACTGTGCTGATCATCTTGGCAGTATGCCCGGAGGTAACGCCCGAGCTCCTGGATCTTGCACTCAGTCTGGCCATTAGTCTGGGGATGATAACCGGAGGAGAGGCTCACTGTGACTTCCTAGCAGTTGAAAGAAAGCTTTCCAAATGTGGGAGATGAACTGCGGGCCCCGGTCTGAGACGGTATCCTCCGGGACTCCATAATTCCTGAAGACATGTGTGAAGAGTGACTCAGCCGTTTCTAGCACCGTAGGTAATCCCTTCAGGGGAATCAGTCTGCAGGTTTTCAAAAAGCGATCTACTGCCACTAGAACGCAGGTGTTGCCTTCGGAGTTGGGCAAGTCAGTTACGAAATCGATCCCAATGTGATACCAGGGCCGTTGAGGTATGGGTAGTGGCATGAGCTTGCCTACGGGGAGGTGAAGAGGAGATTTAGACATGGCACAGACTGAGCACCCTCGAACGTACCTGATGACATCACGGGACATACTGGGCCACCAATACTGAGCTTGGAGGAGTGAGAGGGTCCGCTGGCTGCCTGGATGTCCAGAGCCCGGTACATTGTGAACTGAGCCCAGAAGGGGTAGTCGTTGAGATGTGGGAACATACGTCTTCCCTTCTGGGCCTCCCAGCGGAGCTGGTTCGTTGAGAGTGGCGGCTTGGATGTCCCTGTCAATATTCCAAACAATGGGGCTTACAATTAGGGCTGGAGGGAGAATTGGCTCAGGTTCTGCGGGTGCATCTGGTGAGTGCATTCGTGACAATGCGTCAGCCTTACAGTTACTGTTGCCTGGCCGGTATGTGATGGTGAATTGAAACCTGGTGAAGAACAGCGCCCAGCGGGCTTGATGGGGATTGAGCCTTTTAGCATCACAAAGATATTGAAGGTTCTTGTGGTCGGTGACAACTGTAAAAGGATGATTGGGTCCCTCCAGCCAGTGCCGCCACTCTTCCAGGGACAGTTTTATTGCGAGCAGCTCTCTGTCACCAATATCATAGTTTTTCTCCACTGGGGTCAGTTTCTTGGAGTAATATGCGCAAGGCTGGAGGCATGGAGGCTCGCCGTACAGTTGCGACAGCACGCCCCCAACCCCTGGGGAGGACGCGTCCACCTCCACCACAAATGGGACCAGAGGATCGGGATGACGAAGAATAGGGGCCATGCTGAAGGTGGTCTTGAGTTGTTCGAAGGCTTCATGGGCGTTGGGGTTCCAGGACAGGGACTTGGGCTTACCTTGGAGCAAAGAGGTTAATGGAGCTGAGATGAAATCCTTAATGAAGCGACGGTAGAAGCTCGCGAATCCTAGGAAGCTCTGGAGCTCCTTCACCGACTGGGGACGATTCCACTCCATAATGGCCTTTACCTTCCCCTGGTTCATTTGAATTCCTTCTTGGCCGATAACGTACCCGAGGAACTGCATGGTGGGGCGATGGAATTCGCACTTCTGCAGCTTCAGGAAGAGGTGGTGTTGGCGAAGCTTCCTGAGGACCTGCGCCATGTGACGGTGATGGTCGGCCAGGTTCCGGGAGTAGATGAGTATGTCATCGATGTAGACAATCACAAAGTCATTGAGGACCTCCCGGAACACCTTGTTCATAAACCCCTGGAAGATGGACGGGGCGTTGGAAAGGCCATATGGCATAACGAGATATTCATAGTGGCCAGATGGGGTAATGAAGGCCGTCTTCCATTCATCGCCTTCCTGGATTCGAATGAGGTTGTATGCACTCCGCAGGTCCAGCTTGGAGAAGATGCGTGCCCCACGGAGTTCCTTTAGAGCGGCAGGGACCAGGGGAAGTGGATAAGGATGCTTCACAGTCTGGGAGTTTAGCACACGGTAATCAATGCATGGCCTCAAGCCCCCGTCATTTTTGCCCACGAAGAAACTGGATGCGGCCAGTGATGTGGAGGGACGAATGAAACCCTGAGAAAAAGCCTCCTGGATGTATTCCTCCATAGCCTTGCGCTCCGGGATGGACAGGGGGTACACTCGACCCTTGGGGAGTTTATTACCAGGCAGCAGGTCGATAGCGCAGTCCCAAGGCCGATGAGGTGGTAGGGGAGTGGCAGCCTGCTTACTGAAAACATCCTGGAACGCCACATAATCAGATGGGATGGTGGATGTTTCCAACGGCTCGGGACTTTCGGAGTTGTTAAAAGCGCTATATAAATAAAGGTGACTTGACTTGACTTTCGATGCGAGTGGAGGCTATTTGAGCCGTGAGAGGAGTTTGAGGCGGTTTGGGAAGGGCAGAGATGCAGTGCTGCAGGCAAAACTCGCTCCAGCGAGTTACCTCACACGAGTCCCATCCGATTTCCGGAGAATGGGATCCAGGAACGAAGGAGATCGATGAAGGAGGAACCTCGGGAATCTAAGGGTAAGCAGACACAAGTCAATAGCATAGAGAGAGTCTGGTAAGTTCAGTGTAGTGAATGGTAGACCAGACAGTGAGTGACTGGAAGGAGCGTGCTTTTGAATGTTGGCTTGATTGCAGATGACAGGTGCGGGAATTAGAACTCAGGTGAACGTGATCTGGTGTAAGTAGTGGCAGGTGATTGTGGTGACTCGCTGATAGGTTATTGTTAATTCATGAATTGTGAGCCGAATGACGCAGATGCAAATAAGGACTGTATTGACATGAAAAGTGATCTCTCATGCTAAGATACAAGAAAATAGATTTTGTTTTGATAACAGTACATTATTTTATGGAATAAATCTTCACTAGTTGTATTGACAAGCAGGTTTGATGATGCACTGTATAACATGACACTGATTGGCTTTGAATGGTTACCTCTGATAAAGATTAGTCATGGAGATAGAGGGGAATTTCCTTTAGCGTTCCTTGTGCTTTTTTCAGCTGCATTTTGGGCAGAAGCAAATATCCTGTTGTCACTGATTTATGTTAAACAACTGAAAACAGGAAGATTAAAAAAAAAAAATTATTTATTGTAGAGACTACAGCTCATCTGTAAAAAAAACACAGGCTACTGTACTGTAAGACTGAGTAAAAGCACGTAATGAATTCAGGCGTCTATAATGTGAATTTTTAAAGCAGAGAAAATGAGGGCACAACTGGACCTATAACGCAGAGTCGCCACCAAGATGAAGGAAAAGCGCAAATGTGCGGTAAGCATAAATTTTATTCTGAAGTAGAGATGGTGTCAATAATGGTGCAATAATGTTTGAGAAACTGAAACTCAAAAATTCAATCATTATTCTTAAGAACAACGTGTCAATGTTTCTGCGTTTATATTGAATATATTATCATGCAATTAATTTCCTATTTACTTTTTAAGCATATGTTCCCTTTTGCTACAGCAATTCCAGATATTTGTCATTAAAAAAAAAAGAATGTACTGACTAAAAGCCCAATATTATCTAAATGCTTGCAATAGGTGATTAAAATTAAGTGAACTGTTATTAATTGACATTTGTGTGTTTTCTTCCTGTTCCTCAGGAGGAAGTAGATGTTTGGTGTTGATCACAGTGAGTCTCGGGCTCATTTGTGTTCTTCTGCTGATCTTCATCATACTGCTGTGCATCACCATTAGAGCAGAGAGAGACCTGATAAAGAGTTACAAGAACACAGTTGAAGAGTTACAGGACAATTACACTGATCTAATGACTGAAAAACACCAACTGCAGAATATTTTCAACTTTGTGATCCAGAAGAAACTGGAGTTGGAGACCAGAGTCAACAATCTCACTGCTGATAAAGACCAGTTACAGAGAAGCATTGAATCTTTGACTCAGAAGAAACTGGAGTTAGAAAGCAGAGTCACATCTCTGAGTGATGAACTAAGCAAAAAGGCATCTAAACGATGTTAGTACAAATCTGTTTTTCTTCACTGTCTTTTATGCACACAGTTTTAAAAGATGAGTTTGTCTGTGTGGTCCAGATTTTTTTTCCACTTCCACTGAAGTGAAGAGCTGGTCTGACAGCAGGCAGTACTGCAGGGATCATGGTGGTGATCTGGTCACTAAAGAGAAGTAGGTGAGTTCAGTGGCAATCATTCAATTCATTGCCTCTGATCTTGTGACTTTGACCTGTATTACTCTTTTGACCCTCACTTTCGCACCACACATCAGGTCTTTTATTATGAGATTGCAGCAACCTATCATTTTAGGAAGCACTGCCTCTGTGTGTGTTAAAGGAGAGGAGATGGAATCAACCTTTTTTTTTTTCTTCACACACAGAGACACATATCTTCATTCATTAAGGAAAGTGTGTGGATTGGTTTGTCTGACTCGGAGAATGAGAGCAACATGAAATGGTTAGATAATTCACCACTGAATCAAGGGTAAGACAAAGAAAACCACATGTTCTTTGGGTATTTGTTTGTAGGTGCATCTTTCTTCTCATATCTGCTTCCTGAGTACTTTTATTTTTAGCTGTACTGGAACTGAATCTGACATTTTTTATTCAAGTTTTGGAGCCCAGGTGAGCCGAACAGCTTTCAGGGTACAAATGAGGACTGTACTGAACTGATTCCTACAAGAGACAGCGTGAACAATTGGAATGATCTGCCATGCTCATTGATGAAAAAATGGGTTTGCGGGATTTAGCATCCATCTGTTTCTTCACCTTTGTTTTTGTTTTGTTTTTTTGTGATTGCATTTTTGGTGAAGATTGTTCGAAGGAAAACTCATTTATTAACCGGTTTTATGT